GATGGTGAGGGAGCCAGCTCTGCAGATTTTTGGGAGAACCATATTTCCGGGAAGTGATAATGTATGTGTGGGGAGCAGCATGCAGGCCAGCGTGGCCTGGTGGAGTGAACAGGGGGAGTTGAGCTCAGAGAAATGAAGGGACAAGGGGGGGGGCTGTGGGTCCCTCATAGGTTGGGATGCCTCATAGGCCATGGTGATGAGGTTGGTGTTGACTTAAGAGGGAACAGCCACTCCAAGTGAGAAATGCATGCAAGGAGAAATGGTCCAGAGGAGTATGTGCGATGGCCTCTTCCTATATAATATTCTAACTTGCATTCCTTCTCAATAGCCTCTATCTGGAATTTAGAGGAAGGGGCCAAGCTTCAAGATGTGGATTCTGAAAGCCCTGGGCTCCCCTGTGGCTGAGGGGTGGGGGATACATTTTTCTTACTGAAATAGCCATGACATTTGGCTCTTGGGGACTGATGGAGGTACACCCATGATAAGAGTCCCCCTCTCCTGGAGGGCAGCCATCAATATCTTGTTTGAAGAATGCACCTCTCTCTTCCTGAACATCAGGTCGGTGCTGCTGGGAAGCGGTCGCAGGCGGGCAGGCTTGGTACTGCCATCCACACTCCATCACACTCCAGGAGCCACGCCACACGAAGCCCAGAGCCTCTTTCCTCTCACACACGGCAGATTGGGAGCTGAGATGAGGTTCCCCAGGTGTGGCTGAGCACCTACAATGTAATATACCAGGTGTGCACGGGAGTTGGGATACAGACAAAGTCCCTGCTTCATGGATGTTAAATTCTAGAGGGAGAGAGAGACAGCAAACCCAATAAACCAATGTGCACTCTCTGTCAGCTCCCGATGAATGGCATGGGGAAATATGGAGCAGGGTGTGGGGGTAGAGGATGGCGATCAGGGAACCTCACTAACAGGGACAGTTGTGTTTGTGGATTTGGTGGCAGTCTTGAGTGACTTCTCTCAGTGTCATCACGATGGCAGTATTGATGGAGTGAGAGCTAAAATTCACCAAGTGCTTACAAAGTGGCAGGCACTGGCTGAGAGCTTTATGTGCATAATCTCATTTAGTCCTCACCCTTTTTTGATATCCCAGTTTTACAGATGCGGGAAACTGAGGCACAGAGAGATAATGCGTCACAATTCATTTTTAGGGAAATGCTACATTGCAGGGTGTTGCAGACAGCCTGTTCTCCAGCACCATGCTGGGCTGCCCTCACACACCAGTCATTATGACTGAGGAGGCCCTCCTTCCTCAGCCTCGGCATGGCACACACTCAACAGCTGGGTGTTGTGAAGAGAATAACGGCGGACATGAACTCTGGGGACATGGATTTAAGTCCTGCCCCTTTCATTTATTGGAAGCTTTGTCTGGGGAGAATTAATGAGTAGAGTTCACAGAATGTCTTCCAGCAAAGTTTATTCATGCCTGCTGTGTTTGCTTTGCTATCTGTTCCTTCTCCAGTCCCCAGCCAGCTTCTGCCAGCCTAACCCCCTCTAGCCAGCTTTCATTTCCTGGCCATGCCAGCCTGATTATTTCTAATTGTCTTTGACTGCTTCCAGCTGAGTCTCCTCGCTGGCATTCTGTGGGAGCACACAGACACTCTCCCAGCCATATGGAGGCAGGAGATGGGGAAGGAGATGGGGAGGAAGGAAGCAGCTGGTACGAGTCAACCGAGAAAGCTTTTCGCAGCTTTCCAGCCCACTGTGATTGGTAATGTTTTTTAAAGAGTTAACTCATCCTAGTTAGAGAATGGCCCATTTTGACAAGACAAACAATTATATTTGTTGACCTCTAAAGGCAACTGACAATATAACTGCAAACACCTTTAGAAAGTTATTGGAAATGTCCTGCTGCAGAACAGATGGGGTCTTGCTGTCAGGAGCAATGAAACTCCACCCACGGGAGAATCATATACTTTCATTCATTTATTTGACGAACATTTATTGAACAATGACCATGTCTCAGGCACTGTGCTAGTGCTCCAAGGCAAATAAAATATAAAATAAGACACAGCTCCTATTCTCAATGAGTTTAAAAGAAAAGAAAGACATTTGTGGGAAGTAATACAGGACATAAAATGAAATGAGTGATATATAGTAGAGAAGAGTGGTCAAGTGATCAGCCTCTTGTAGCTCATTGATCAAGCAGGGCTTCATGGGAAAGAGAATATCTGTACTAGGTAGAAATGGGTCAGAGGCAGCAGATTGGGGGTGGGGGGCCATAGGCAGAGGTGCAGAGGTGAGGAAGCCCTTTCTTGGATGAAGACAGATGAAATTTAGTGCCCAGGGAGACCCCACAGGAGGAGCGGAAATGTAGTTTAGGAGAATTAGTAGAGAATCTTCAATGCTGGACCACTGCTTTTCAACCAGATGTTTTCTGCATCTCTAATATGAGGCCAATACGTTGTTTTGAGTACGAATTTGTCTTCCATAAAGGAATTTCTGAGGTTATTCCTTATTAAACAAGGTCATTTCAGAGACAGGACCTGTAGTTCAAAAACCAGTTGCTAAGCCCAGGCCAGTCTAGGATTTGGACTTCTCTTTGGCATCCATCCCAGCTGATGGAATTAGTAGTGAACTTGAATCAGACCCAGGCATCAGGCTTGGAAAAGATTTAATGGGGCTGGATTTTCTCTCTTCTTCACCCTTTTCCTGACCTCCACCACGAGAGGATAATTAAAAGGAAAGAAAATCTCTGTTTCATTGTAAATGTCTTCCACCATTTTTGTGCCTGAAGCTAACTTTTTTTTTAAGGCCATAAAGATAGTTTGACAAACAGTCTCTGAAATTTGCCTTACATCATAATAAAGGGACCTCTAAATTTTCATAGACAGCTGGTATCCTAGAATTTTTAAAAAGTTGTACTCTGTGAATACAACATTGGGAAAATCCAAAACCTTTTCTGAAAGAAGGTTTAGAATGGTTTTGACCCCAAAGTGAGCTCCATCTTCCCCATTCATTAGACATTTGTTGAACATTTACCCTGCAGGCCCTGTGCTGGGCATTCAGCCCCCCTCTCCCCCATGTTACTGTCCTAAAATTTGATTATTGAAGCACAGACACTAAAGAGACTGGATTGGTCTTGCAGAAATTGTGGGGGTGGAGTGGCAGCAAGAAGTCCCTTTGCACAGCAAGAAAAATATTTGAAAGCAAATCTTTAATGTTGGAAAATGGGAACAATGAGAAGGCTGATAGAAAACATAGGCTCAGTCATAACAAGGTTGGTGACTTGTAACATGTGAGTAGGTGATTATAGCATATATAAAATGAGATCTATTTAACATAGGCGTTTCTCTGGGTCACTTTTCAGATGGTCAGAGAGCCTCCAATACTGGATTGATGACAGGCCCTCTCCCCGCCCCCATCTCAGAGCATGGATGTGGATCATGCCATACTTGTTTACCGAGGAGTCAATAATGAAAGGAACTTGGTGAGGACCTAATCCTCCCTTTCAACTCTGACGTTGTAATATCAGGGGTTAAGGGTGCGTTAAACGCTGGCGCCTTTTCTCTCGCTGCTCAACAGGTAGCATTTTGTAAATGCCTCCCCCTATCTACCTACCCCCCAGCTTCTGCCTCACGAGATTCCTGATTTTGGGTTTGAGAAGACGTTGGGGATCCTGGAGAAGATCAGAGTCGGCAGGACAGCTCCTCTTGTTTATGAGGGATGAGCACGGGGCGCGCACAGAACAAAAGCCTCCAGGAGCAGGGAGCACTGGTCCACCTCATCCAGCAATCACCAGCATCATTTCAATGGGAAGCAAAGAAGGTGTAAACATTCAGGCAGAGGCAGCAAACGCCCTGGTTCCTACGTTGCTGCTGCTACTATTATTGTTGCGGCTGCTCCTCCTCCAACACAGCAATCCGGTCTGCGTGCGAGCCCGGGCAGACGCCCCACCACCTCCCCATCTTTCCTTCCACCCCTCCATCTATCCGTCCATCCAGGGTCTAGAGGGCCCTACGGTGGGTCAGACCCTGGGCTGGACACCGGGCACCTAACCCACGATCCAGGGTTCAGGAGCGCCTCCCTTCCTCCTGCCCCGGGTGGGTGCGGCTGGTGAGCGATTTCACCGCCGAAAGGTCCAGAAAGCCCAAGCCCGGAATCCAGGCGAGAGGCTCAGCTGGAGGCGGCCCGACTTGGGCGGCCCGGGAGCGCGCGTCTCCGAGGCCGCGCGGGGTCCCCCTGTCTGGCGCTCAGGTGGCTCCGCCGCCTACTCCGCCGCTCCCCTCCCCGGACCCTCCCCTCTCCAGCGAGGGTCGAGTTTGGCTGTTGCGCGCGGGGAAGGAGGGGCTACGAGGGATTTGAAAGTGCACAGGCTGCGGAGTGGAGCTCGCATCTGTTCCCGCCGCCCGCGACCGGATTAAATTTCTGCAAATTCAAACTGAATGGGGCTTTCTTCTGCTGCCTTCCAGAGGGCGCCTGCAGCCCGCCGCGCGCTGCTCTCGGGCGGGAGCGGCCGCCGGGCGCACAGCTAGGAGCGAGCGAGCCGGACCCGAGCCCGGGCGGGCCAGCCGG